TTCGCTGCAAACTATGCAGTTGGATTTTGAGGTGAATGTTGAGGAATCGCGCAGGGTCTGGGGGGAATGGGTCCCAAGTTTAAGTATGAATCCGCAAAAAGCACGTACCCATGCCCAAGCAGTATAACGGGTAGGGTTAGTAGGGGTACCCATGAATCTTCTATAAGAAGCGGCCTTGAGTGTACCCTAATAAGTTAGTAGTTTGTTCAGATTCTTGGGGTTTGGGGTGTAGGATGTTTAGGGTTTAGGGCTTAGGCTCTCTTAGGCTCTTTTGAGTAGAATGGCCCACGGGCCACAGGTGGCACTCCGCTGAGATGCACAACAAGAGTTCCCTCATGCCTCATTAGCGCCTTCACCATCAGGCCAAGACTGAAGGGAACAGTGGAAAAATGCACGGATCTTGGCCAACACACCGATCACAAGCACCTGGGTTTTACGACTGTTGCAGGACGACCGTCATTGGGAGGCAGCCTAGCCACCTTACGCACTCTTCGATGTCAGCAGCCGGGTCAAGCACAGTCGGCCATTCTACTGGTGGAGGCCCCACCTCGTGAAGCAGCCCAAGGGTCAGCACCAAGATAGTGCTGAAGAGTTGTGGCTTCCCTGCACAGGGGACATAGCTGAAGCCGAGCGATGTCAGGTCGGCCTAATGAGACGAAGGGAGCCACATACCCAGCCCCAGCATGCTTTTGTGTATCGGCACATTTTTTGCCCAAGCTATATGTAAGGAAAGGTGCCATGGCCTGGCCGCCAGCCCATGCAGGAAAGGGCCAGGGAGGAGCCACGTGCAGACTGGCCTCCTTCTGAAACCATTCGGCATCAATGCGATGAGATGCGATGAGCAGCACCTGCTCCTTCCACAAAAGAACGGCCTTGCCCCAGGAGCGCATGAAGGCAAGGGCAGGTTCAAAGTTCTCAAAAGCCGTGTCCTGCTCAATGCCAATGTTGGCCATGCCCGTGAGTGAGTCTGTCAGCCAACTGCGGCCTGTGACAGCCAAGGCGCCCGGCACAGCAGCAGGAATTGGGCTGGTAGATGCCAAGGCCGTGATTTCGTAGGATCGCTTGCAATTCGAATGGCCGCTCGTGTGCTCAGCCTTTGCTTGCTGCCCAAAAAGCATTAAACGATGATGCCCACATGCGCCCAAGGAGTCGGCTCCAAGCAGCACCTTGAGACACCTGTAGCGCAGCGTGTTGAGCTTCATGGCCATAGCGTTCAACCACACTCCGCGCTCGCAAGAGCCTCAATACTAGCAAGAGTTCGGGCAGCCACACGCAAATCCCGCTGGGCCAATTGCGGGGGGGGGCACCGATAGCCAGGTCCCTTAGCGGGTTTAGTGGTTTGGGTGTTTAGGGTTCAGGCTTCAGGGGCTTAAGGACCACAATTTTGACAACCCTTTCTGTGGAAAAACGTTCGACTTCCGCCAGAAGAGTCCCTTAACCTTCCCAGCCTGATTGTAAAAGGTCTTAGTTACAAGGATCAGGTCAAAACATAGCCCCCAACATCCCCCCGAGGGGTACTTCTCTCTCGTAAAAATTCATGAAGACAAGGTGCAGCTAAGCTGGGCACTGCTAGGCCATACCCAACGACAGACCAGTGATGCTTGGAAACCCGCTTGGTTTGTTTTGGAATTTCCCAATGCTGAGCCCTAAGCCGACTGCTTGGAAGTCCATAGGTCGTCCTGAGAAAAGTCATAGGCAGAATGATTTGGAGCATGATTCTTTGGTTGGCGTTTTGGGCATTTTCGATTCCATATTGGTCGTACGGTTTTTATTGCAGAAGGCTTTAAAGTGCCACTCCGACTTGATTGAACAATTAGTAAGTCGCTACAGGAAAGCTCAAATTGTCCATAGCAATTGTTTGTTGGAGATGTCCTACACGAAGTTGTATGTATGCCCTAAACCTTTGCCCTCCCCTAGGCCAGCGCAACCAACAGGGCAGAAGTCTTCGCAGGGCCTCTTCTGGGCATCCATCTCAGTGGGTAAGCCCTAGACCCTGGACCCTGAACGGTAAACCTGTAGTCCAAAAACCCCAAACCCTACCCCAAGCCTTAAACCCTAAACCCTATATTGGGAAGGAGACCGTGGAGCTGTTGGACAACGATTATTCGCAGGAGCAGCAGGGGGAAACATCCTTTGGGACAAAAAGCTGTTGAGGATGCTTCAGAATTTTGTTCCACTACTAATACTGGTTCTAACTTAGCTGATCAGGAGACTCGCGCATTTCCTGGTGTTCATCCTTACGACTGCCACGATAGAAGGTGTACATGATCAACATAACTGGGTAGGCCCCTGGGACATTTAATATTTTCCCTAATGGCTTTAATAAGGGACCCTATTTACTAATATTTTTCAGAGGGTTTTAGGGGCCAACCCAGATAAGTGATGCTTGGAGGATCCCGGGAAGGCCAGCGGAGATAGCTTGGAGCTCAGTGCATGCCTTTCTCCTCCAGCATAACAGATATCCATTCAACTTGCTCGCTGCGAAGCATGGCATGCATTCTGCGCGGCTGTATTCAAAACCCGTCAAGGAGCATGACTTGGGAATTTTTAGCAATAATCTGGGCTACCTTGCGACCTTTTATATAGGGAACGGACGACGATTATCCGAGAACTCCCATTTCTGCGATGTGTCAGCGCCGAGTGAGCTTGATCACAGCTGAGGTAGCTCCGATACCGACCAGGCTACGGTTTTCGATGTTCTACTGAAATTGGTTCTAGACTTTGCGCCTACTCCCGCTTAGTCCCTCCCGAAGACATTAGCAGGTGCAACTTTCTCTCAGATTTCTGCTTGCTGTCTGTTGGAGCAGCCTCGAGGTTCCCAACAACCGTCGTAGAATCTTTTCAGAACTAACCCCCAGCAGTATTCGTCAGGCCCCGACATTGCTTTAGGGGCTTTTGGCTCCCATCATTTGCGCCATCTCTGTCAGGGCTGTGCGACCAGCGACAGTTGGGGCTGGCCACGCTCTCGTGACATGGGAGCTTTCCCGAATAAGTAGTAAAAAGTAGTAGTACCAGCAGTAGTAGTAATAGTAGCAGCAGTAGTAGTAGCAGCAGCACTGGTTGTGTCAGCTGGATGTGACATGTTCTCAAGATGGCGAGCCCTTGCGGGAAACCGCGCTTGGTGCCATTTCCTTTTGTGATTCTCTACAGTTCTACATGTCACAGCAGCTTACCTTGTCGGCATTTGCCAATACCATGCGGGACTACTGGTGCTGCCCTCTCCATGCCACACCAGTAGGAGTATGACCACGGACCAGATGCTTTTGATGCGCGGGTGCTACAGCCGCAAAATTTCTCCTGACTGATGTTACCCTTGTCCTTAATGAGCCATTCTTGTCTGGTATGACGGCTTCTGCAAGCAATGCTGCTAGTGTTCTGTCAGGTTAGCTTTATGTTTCCAAGCGTCGAGTTTCAAAGCCGGGCACTTCATATGGGAAGCTCGCAAGGCAATAGATCTCTCTGATGTCCGTAGAAACCTTCTGTTTTCAGTTTACTTTCTTTCTTACTGGTAGTTCGTAGGGAAAGGAAGAGTGGATCCCTGCTGTAGCCCCTGTAGAACCTGCTATAGACGTTAGTACCCATATTCTTTTCCGTTCCCTTTTTTCCTGGTATGTACGAGCCAGTACGTGTTAGCTCCCTTGGGTTTTGGCCAGCAGCCTGCATGTTCCTGCGTGTGGCAGCCCATGACCTTCTCAAACACCCGGAGAGGTCGTTGCATACCGAACCTTGCAAACGATGACGCGCCTTGGGGTAGCCAAAGCGGTGGCGCTGGCATTGGTCTTCATACAGGCAGCCGTAGCTTGTGACGGGCCGGTTGAGGAGTGCCAGTCACTGTCCTTCTTGCAGCCGGGTTGCTGTTAAGGAACTTGAATTAAGTTACCATATTGGGGAAACCCTATTATTTACTATATATATATACCCATTATGGTAACTTAATTTAAGTTCCTTAACAGCAACCCAGGCAGATGGCCCTGGAGTCCAAGGAGCAAGTTAAGTCCGAAGACCCAGGATGCCCAACACCCCAGGGAATATCAGCGGCCTTAGCCCGAATGACGCAAGAAGGCCCTACACTTCCCGAGGCGCTGAAAACATGCTACTTGCCTGCCCAGTGAACAAGATCAGATGTTTTTGAGTAGTATGGAAGCCCATATATACAGAAAGGTGAACCTTGGGCCTTAAACCCCTAACCATTTAAATCCTTAAGCCTTACATCTTAAACCCCTAAACTCTGCAGCAACCAGAAAAAAACCGTAAACACTAAACCCTAAACTCCAACTAAGGCTACATGTTGGGCATGTGCGTGGACAGCACGAGTGTGGCAAGACAGGCAGAATGGGCCCAGGCGCAGGGCTGTAGAAAAACCTGGTGAGTTAGGATTTAGAATTTGAGTTTTCGGGTCTTGGATTTCAGCGCCTGAGGGCTTAGGGTTTAGAGTTAGGTTTTAGGGTTTAGGGTTCAGGATTTAGGGCATAGGGTTCAGGATTTAGGGCATGGGGTTTAGAGTTTAGAGTGTAGGACCTCCCTATTGTAGGGGTTCAGGGTTCCGGATTTCCCGGAGCCCGATGTAGCCCCTCTTAAGTAGATAGAATATGGTGTATATGGGGGTCTTATTATAATATACTCAAAGCCATTTTTATCTACTTAAGGGGGACTTTATGCCTTAAATTATATTAAGGGTCCAAGTAAGATTTGAGGTGTATTCGAGAACTAAGCTATATTGCTCTCTGGGTACCTCTACCCAAGGGCGACTAGGTAGTCATTTTGCTGGGTCCGTTGTTTCTTGGCAAGAGATTATAGTATACCACCCCAAAAAACTACAGTGGAGGGGCTGGGTGATCCTTAGCAAGCACGTCCACAAAAGCATGCCACAAACACATCCTGCGGATTCTGCATCCTGCTCTCGTGGCAACGCTGACCAGGCCGGTGCCGTCGATTTTGTTTCAGCTGCCCTACATGCATTTCCGTCGAATCAGACTGTGATTGTTGCTTGCACCCTTGCGATGTCTCCCATCATCCTGTTCAACCGGGAAAATGGACTCCGCGCAGGGGGACTCGGGGCCCTGAATGTGACTTTGGAGTATTATAACACCCACCTGGATGAGCCCTTGGTCATGAATCTGGGTGGTGCCATTGGGGCATACTTTGACTCTGGGACATTGGTTAGCCTTGCAGCCTTTATTCTTGCATGTGTTGCAGGCATATCTACTCAACAGACATAGGTACAGTTGTTTGACAGAAGGCTGCCCTGAACACCAAGCGCTAATCCCAAATTGCACTCTTTACGTGCTTTTACCGGCCAACGGTGAAGATTAGGGTTCATTATGTTCCCTATCATCGGGTCCCCCGAGCAAGGACACCCCCATGCCCTTTTTTGTATAGAGGCTAAATCACTAAGTGCTGTATATCCCTGTATATCCCTCTACATCCCCACACATGCCCGTATATCCTTTGACGCCCATAGATATTTTTTTGATTTTTGGGATAAAACCAGATCCAGGATTTCTGCAATGAGAACCGGGCCATTGCTCGAGAGTTGGGCTCGGTCCAGAGCTTCATCCAGAACATCAGGACCCAAAGGTTTAGGGTCTAGGGTCTGTTTACAGGTGCCTCCTCACTCAATTGGGATAGGACAGTCTTGTGCTTACTACATATTTTGCAGGCCTAAGCCGTAAGGGTCATGGTGATTTGGGAATAATACCTAATTCTTCAACCTTCCACGTTACCCTTGGCGAGTGTTGAGTTGGTTCAACTCACAGTTCGGTTTCCCATGCAGACTTGGCAGGAACAACTTCCATGGTGAGTACAGCGATTGGGGGTACGAGCCAGTAAAGCAGTCGCTGTATCTCGGTGTATACAAGATTAGGTCTTCGGGCTTAGGTCATCGAACCACGGAGGACTTTTGTGTGGTTACTGTCAGCCGAAACGCAAGAAGACTGAGCAATCCTTATTAAGACCATCGGAGCAAAAGAATGACAATTGAGGGTCCGAGGGCATCTCTCTCAACCACAATCTTTGCTTGGCAACTAAGGTATGCTCTATCTTCAGGGACATGGACCAATGCAGATATTGCATACCAAGAGGCATTTCCCTCCCTGGGTGTCGAGCTGATGACCGAGCACCTCGGACCGTCCGGGAACCGTGGAAATAATCTAATCTTCTCCCCTTGAGAATTCATAAACACACAACTCAGAATAATTGGAAACACCCCAGTCCCCTGCCCTCCACTCCCTAACATAAAAGATGTCCCCCTGATACATGAGGTAGGGCACCTTGGTATCAGGGTTGGGGAATTTCATGCTAGGGAAGAGGCGTTAGTCTTAAACGTTCTCGATCACAATCTGCAAGCCAAAGGGGTTTAGCGCAATCCTTGTAAACCCTGAGAACTCTCAGCCGCAAAATTGGGGGTACCTCTTGGGAGTTTCCATAATGAGGTTGGGGTTTAGGGTGTAGAGTTTAGGGTTAGAGTAGACTCAAATCTATATCGGGTTCCTGCGTTTATGGAAAGAACCATGTCTCCCTAAATTCCCTTTGGGCTCCCGTATGTTGAGGAAAATCCCACTTGAGACGTTCATGAGAAACCATAAGCGATGTTCTGTCGGATCTGCGAGGGTTTTTGGGTTTGGGCTTGTTGGGTTTAGGGGTCAGGGTTGGGGAGGAGGGGTCAACATGGTTTGGTGGTTGGGGTTCAGGGTTTAGCTTCCAACCAGCCTCCGAAACTCATACATTCTGAGCCGTGCGAATCCCCTTTACTTCTATATGAACCATAGTCTACACTCCTAGTATCCCCCTTAATGACCCTTCTACTAGTCGCCTATACAATCCCATAAATAACACCCGTTTAAGGAGTGTAGACAATAGCGCTCATGGCCGTCTGTTTCTCAAACTAGTGACCTTGACGGACCCCTTTGTGGGACCCTGGATATGTGGGGATCACATGGGGATTATAGAAGTCCCCACCAAAGATTTACGGTCTAGGGTCCGTTTAAAAGCTCCAAAGAAGAGGATCCTCATCGAACCCCGTTGGAGTTGAAATGGCCGCTGATTGCAGGTAAGATTGCTGGGCACAATGAAGCCTGCTTTTTCGAAGCCACAAAATGTAGGGGCCTTACAAACAGCCCAAAGCCAGAAACATTTCCATAGACTTTAGAGACCCAAGTACGAGCCATTTATGCACTTGGATCCCCAGACCCTTGCAAAGGCCTTAGAGTTTACGGAATTTGTGCTTGGAAAAGCTTACAAAAGATGTGGCCTACACCTCATACATACTTTGCGATGCCAGGTTCTAGCTCCGGAATCATCACTGCCAACTGAAAGGAGAATTTGGTCAATTTCAGGTTCCTGGAAACATGATATCCCCAAGGTACCGAATGTTTTTGGTGAGCTGCTTCAGCCAACCTTGATCACCTACAATGGTTTAAATCCCAGCCCCCAAATATTGCCCGACTGCCCCCTCAGTAATGATCCCGCACGTGTAGCACCATTACACACATATAGATATATAGATAGAAGATTTTTTACATTTAGGGGGAATCTTTTTCATTATCAGCAGGGGATGGGGGTGGTTATTCGTAAGTGGGAACCCTAAGCCCTCAACCCGGTGGTGGGGCGATTTCAACCCTACCTGAGGCATGGCAACGAGACGAAGATTGCTGAAGAGACCTTGCAGGCGGTCAAGGCCTCCGGATTCAGTGTTTATAGGGGTTATAGTCCCCCTTAAGTAGATAGAATATGGCTTTGGGTATATTATAATAAGATCCCCATATACCCCATATTCTATCTACTTGAGGGGGACTATAGGGTTTCCAGTTTAGGGGTTGGGGTTTAGTAGCTAGGGCTTAGGGTGTAGGGTTTATAGAGGTTAGGGTTAAGGGGTTGGGGTCTACGGTTTGGGGTCAGGATCAGGGGGGTAAGGCTTACACAAACAGTCCATGTAGGTGTGTAGATGCGTAGCACCCTTGCGCCGCATTCATGTAGCAATGCTAGGTAGCCTTGTTGACACTATCGCCACAAACCCCAATCCCTCCTGGCCCGCATGGTGCTGGAGGTTTTTCCAAAGTGACCCCAACATGTTGTTCCATGGAAGTCTTCTGTAGTGGGGGTTCCGGAAAAAGGCGGTCCCTTATTTGGGCCAATGGCACGTGAAGGGTAGAGAAAGTAATTCGGAACACGCTCTTTTGGGATCTGAAGAAACATTCAAGAAGTTTAGAGTATGGCCCAAGTAGATTATGAAGATACTTTGGGCCCAAGCTTTCTTATGCTTAGGGGCAAGATCCAATAGTGCCCCTAGTTGAAGCCCAAACCCTATCAGGCTCGAATCACTCCTAGAATCCTGTTAACCAACAACGCCCTATATGACCTTGTCAATCTTTCGTCGTGATCCCTTTAACCCTGAACTTTGAATCCAAAGCCCAAACCTTTTACATTACCACCTTTGCATCACCCTTTTAGCACCTTTTTGTTTCATTGTCCATTTGGTATCCATTATCAGGCTCTACTTGTCCTTCCTCAGTTCGTACTAGTTGTCGGGGCCCCTACCATCACTGCAAACCCTAGACGATACCCTAAGTGTGTGTATACATATATATATATATATATATAGGTACTATTTGGGGGTCCTACGCCTATTTGGGGAAACTACCATATGTATGTGTATATATATATATATAGATTTATTTATTTGTATGTATATACGGGTAGATACATCAACCCTAAATGCTAAGCCCAACCGTTATTTAACGCCTGTAATAACTCCTTGGGACTTAGCTTGGACCTTAGACCCTTAAACCCTTTGAAAGTCCCTTATATTCCTGTTATAGGCACCTGAAGGTTATCCCTTAGTAGGGTCCTAAGGGCCACGTAGATAAGAACCTGTCTGGTGTGCTTTCGGAGGCCATGGCCTGGCAGGACGACTTCTACCGAAGCCGTTGGGCAGAGCTAGGCTGCTCACGGCGGAGTTTAGGATTCCAGGCTTAGGGTTTATGGGTTTATGGGTTTAGGGTTTAGGGGGGCTTACAGGGTTTAGAACTTAGAATTCAGGGCTTGGGGGCTCAGAATTGCAAGTATGGGCCCCTAGCATGGGTCATTAGCCGAATTGGGGATTTCAACGGGCCTTGGAGGATACGGTTATTGCTCAGGTTCGTAGAGATGCCTGCGCCTGAATGATTGCAAATAGTTCCTTAGGCAAGGAACTGGCCTTTGGTTAGCTAGGAATGAAGGAACGGATCCTGAAAGGAGTCCGTATATAACCCATTGTAGCAGTTTCCATGTTCTTTTCCATTCCTTCCGTCCCAGCTAACCAAAGGCTAGGGAAAAATCATCTGAAGAATCCCGCCAACCCCCGCCCCATAGAGACCATCCAGCACGCCCCTAAAGGTCAGTGGACAAACCCAAAGAGAGATCCCTGATTTTTTGAAAACTGTAAGCCCTAAACTCTAACCCTAAGGTTCTAAGGGTTCATATTTTGAGGCTTTTGGGCTATTTTGAGCCTTGGGGAAAACTCCTAATAGAATTTGTGGATTACGTAGGGTGCAGGCAAGCGCATGGGCTCCTTCGGAGTGATGCGCGTGCCTCAACCATATATAAGCCCTACATTGTGCAACCCCATTTGCGCACCCCTCATCTTTGGAAACCCCTCAGCAATCATGGTTCCCTCTGATTGAAGCCTCCTATACTACCCCCCCATAGATTCCCCCTGAACCGTAAATTGCCTACTGAGGGGATCTGAAGGGGGAATGCATCCGTAGTATAGAGGGGTGTGGAACTTCTTCACTGCCCGGCATATTCGAAGCCTAAACCCTAAACCCCTAAACCTTAAACCCTAAACCCTTAACCCTTTAACCCTAAATAAGCCCGTTAACCCCTAAACCCCTAACCCTAAACCCCTTAACCCCCAAACCCCTAAACCCCTAAACCCTTAACCCTAAAACCCTAAACCCTAAACCCCTAAACCTGAAACCCTAAACCCTGAACCCTAAGCCCTTAGCCCTGAACCCCTAAACCTTAAACCCTAAACCCGTCACTGCCAGGCATCTTCGAGGCCCTTGCAGGCGTGCTTCATGACAATCCAACAGACCGGGGGGCAATCAGCCTTGTGGGAGCCTTGGATTAATTAGGGTTTAGGGTTTAGGGGCTAGTTTAGGGTTAAGGGTCTAGGGTTTAGGGGCTAGGGTTTAGGGTTTAGGGTTTAGGGCTTAAGTTTTGTATCATTTGAGCCATATTCTAAACTCCTTAGAGGAGATTGTATAGGGGACTTAGGGGAGTATAAGGGCTTATTAAGGGGTATTTCAGCTCATCTCAGGCTTACGCTTTTGGGTTTGAGGGTTCGAGGCTGAGGGTCTATAGGGTTTAGGGTCTAGGGATGGCAGTTCTGGTCCAGGGTCCAGGGGTTTACAGTCCCCCTTAAGTAGATAGAACATGGGGTATATGGGGATTTTACTATAATATACCCAAAGCCATGTTCTATCTACTTAAGGGGGACACTAAGTTTGGGGACGGATTCTTTTCCATTAGCCTCATGCTTCCTACAGTGTCTAGCTATGGGTATGCGTTTACCTTTTATGCGCAAATGGATACATATGGGAAAGCATGGAAATGTCTGAACTTGAAACCTGAATGCTACACGATGGTAGTGTTTTGTTGGCTTTTTTTTCTCAACCCCCCACCCACCCCTCCCTCACATAGGCTGAGATTTTACTGACGCGGGGCCCTAAACCCTAAACTTTGTGGATGAGGAGAAGCGGCCATGTACATTATTGGTCCGGACGAACCTTGCTTGCATGTTCAGTCGCTAAGGCTCGGCAGAGACATCGTCCTTGAAGCTTTAAAGGTTTGAAGGGGGGAGGGTAAAGGGTGAAGGGTTTTGGGGGTTTAGTGGTTCACAGGTGTAGGGTTTAAGGGCTGAAGTTTTTGGATAGCAGCAAGAGTCAGTCTCAATATCATGGGTTAGTAGAAAGGCTCCCTCTCCAAGTGCTTTTTTTGCCGGCAAAGCATGATTAGCATCCCCCTTTGGCGGCTTGTGTCTGTTTTCTTGTTGGCGTTTTGCATTTTTCTCCATAGGACCCCTACAAGGGAACTGCAGAATGCCTGTGGAATCCCCACAGATCTCTAAGGTCCCCACGGGCCCCTACATAGTCGTCTCAGGCACCCATGGGAAGTCCAGTTGCAGACTTTCGCTTCGTGCCCTTCAATGCTACCATTCAGCAGAAGGCATCGGAGGGACAATTCTTGGAGGCCGGGCCTATCATCCCTTCATGCAACATCACTGCAGAACCCCAGCAGAGGCGTCAAGTTTTGTTCATTGAGGCCAAGATAGATTCCAGCATTTGCTCGAATGAAGTGGTCCATCCGATACATCTTCCTAGGCTTGCTTGATATAGACCTAGACCTTCCAAGTACACTCCATACTCAGGCCTATGTGCCCACGACTAGGAACCTCAGAGCCCCGGCTGAAGGTACTGGGAGGGTCTGGGTAAGTGAATTCCAAGTAATTTGTGGGCACCCCAAAGCCCGAGTCCAAGCGGCGGTCACCAATGAAGCGATGCGAGCGTTCAGATTCAATTGAGAAGTACTTCTAATGGGGGTGGGGTACTCTTGTCGGCAATATATAGAGTAAGATGATGCCGTCCCATTCCTGTTGTTCTTGTCTCTTTCCAAAAGAAGGATGAAACCTTATTTGGCTCAACCACCAAAAAAAGCCTACCCAGCTTGTCTCTCAGTCATGAGGCAGTTGAAGCCTTTCCTTGCAAATCTGTCGACCTCCCCGCGCAGATCTGGGAGTTTCCTTTTTATATGGGAGCACCCCTTTCAGAGCTTACGGGTGCCTTTGATCTGGGAGTTTCCATTCACAGGAGCACCTTTTAGGGGATGAAGGTTTCTGCGGCGACACGCGGAGCTGTCTCAATCATTTCCGCTTCTTACCGGGATGTTTTGGCCCCACTCTTTCTGGCCCTCACTGATGGCCAACATACACACACACCTTGCATGATGAAAGGGGCTGTTCTCCGTTGTAGCTGGTTCTTAATGGGGAGGGTTTAGAGTTTAGATTCTACAAGAGACATGGTACGTACCCTGCTATTGGGGATTACTTCCAGGCTACCAAAGGAAACCATTCCACCACTGACTACCAAAAAACCCTCAGGTTACATGGTGACAGGAACTGTTAAGTTGACGCCAAACCCTTTTTTCCCTGAACCAGGAACCCTCCAAGCCCTTCCAAACCCCAACCCTGAACCCTAAATCTCCTAAGCCTTGAGCCCCTTAGCCCTAACCCCCTGAAGCTGAAACCCCTACGCCCGAAATCCCCCTGAATTTCCCAAGCCCCTGGACCCCCTACAGCTTGAACCCCCTAAGCCCTAAGTCCCCTAAACCTTACAAGCAAACCCTGTGAAGGCCCTTCTGGAAACGGCTACATCAGATGCCAAGCTTGAGCATTTCGAGCACGGCAGCTCCTTGCCTGTTTGTTTGGGGTCCAGGCTTTTAGGGTATAAGGTGATTTTACTACAACTGAAGCACTTTATCACGTTGAGCCGTCTCTTTTCCATAGCATGGGGGGACAATGCGTGAGAGGTTAACTTCAGGCGGGAGATGAAAAGGTAAGCAAGCTCACACTCCCCTGTTTCAACTGGGAAGCCCAAACACAGGGCTACAAAGACAAGCGCCCTTTGAAGGAGCCTATATGGGCTTCAGCGTACGCTGGGAGCGTACCATGTCTATGTAATTTGTTTCAGACCGAATATAAACCGAAAAGGTTGATGTAGCAGCCTGAAGAATAATTTGCCAATCGCCTCCCCTATTTTCTTAGATAATGGTGGCTGAATACAACCTTCCCCAAAAACACTGATTTATTCCTGTTGGCGCCTTCTGAGCCGAGGAAAGCGCTACATTCAAAGGAGTTTCACGGTGTCGGTGCGTCATTTCCTCACACAGGCCTTACGTCGTTATATACCTCCTAGTCTCCCATATAAGAAGCCCCATACAAACCTTATGTAGCTCCTTGGGACTTAGCTTGGACCTTAAACCCTCAACCCTTTGGGATTCCCTTATACTCCTATTGTAGGTACCTAAAGGCTTAGCCCTTAGTAGGGGTCCTAAGTTCCACGTAGATACACCTTGTGTTTGTTCACGTGGGAAGTGACCCGCCTGGTAAGTCTCCACCTGAGTTCAGTGAGGCTTCAACTTCAATTTAGACCTGGCCTACCCTGCCAAGCGGAAGCTCCACTGGTTTAGAGGTTTGGGGTTTAGGGGCCTGACGCTCTAAGCGATAACAGGGATCTCAAGTTCAGATGTTGAGGGGTCAAGGCCTTAGAGCTTGGGGACATCGGATCGGGGATGAAGGGTCTACGTTCACACTTGGGGTCTTCAGTCTTTTTTTACAGGACTTGCATGAGAGCATTGATGAGTGTAATATCAGCTTGCGCAGTTTCAACATGTTAGTATAGTATTTGTAGTTTTTTTTATCAGAAATTCTTCTCTGTTGGGTCCTGCATGTGGATTGGTTCAGGTCCTCCCCGACTCATGATGAGCGCTTCATATAAGTACCAAAAATTGGGGTACGTTTAGGGTTTGGGGTTTAGGAGTGTAAGCCCTGCACCCTAAGTTTAGGTCTTTCGCTTGGTACGGATGATGAGGCAAAGATGCTTAGACACAAACAGACGGGCTGGGATGGGTTTAGGGTGTAAGGCTTAGATAAGTTGAGAGTCTTCTTCTGGATCGCGTTTAGCTCCGGTGCCAATCTAGAAGCCGAAAGATTTACCTTAAATATGGTATAGGCCATCCCGAATAGACAAATAAAAAAGAGGTTTTCTAGTGTCTAGGCCCCATACAGCACCTAAACCCTAAATCCTATAAACCCTAAGCCCTAAATCCTAAGCCCTAAATCCTAAACCTTAAATCCTAAACCTTAAACCTTAAACCCTAAGCCATGGTGTCCGCTAGCCCAGCTCCAATTCTTTCAGGGTCTTTAGGGTCTAGGGCGCCGTTTCGGGTTTAGGGTAACTTAGGGCTTTAGGGTTTATAGAGTTTAGGGTTTTAGTTTAGAGTTTATAGGGCGTAGGGCAATGAGAAGTCCAACTAAATAGGGAGTTTCTACGTAATCCTTCCTTACCCACTAACCACTGGCCCGACACTCTATAAACCCTAAACGTTATATGGGGGAGGGGTTTGCAAAACGGTGGTCAATTCGGAGGCTGCTCTAAATATTAGGGGACGTATTATCATGTAGACCCGGGATGAATAAACCCCCTCCTTTTAAGGGCCTTAGTATTATTAGGATTAACCCCTATGAAGGGGAGGGAGTTTATTAATCAGGTCTGCATTAATAGGGATGCAAAGAAAAAAAGAACCACAAGTTTGGCACCGCACCAGAAAGTAGCTGTCATGTTATCTTCCATTCCTTATTTCCTTGGTAGGCGAAAGCGTATGCCCTACAGGCTCTGATACTTACTGGAGGTTAGTAGGAATCGGGGAATACAATTCCTATATAATGTATTCCCTTATTCCCCACTGACCCGCTAAACCCTAAACCCCTAAACCTAAACCCTAAAGCCTAAACCCTAAACCCCTAAACGTAAACCCTAAAGCCTAAACCCTAAACCCCTAAACCGAAACCCTAAAAGCCTAAACCCTAGACTAACCCCAGGAAGCATGAGATTTAGTAGTTCGCACTATACCTACCTAGCTATTTCCAAGGAACTGCTACGCTGCCCTTCAGCTCATGGCCAAGGATTCCGGTTTTGGGTTTAGGGTTTTGGGTTTAGGGTTTAGGGTGGGCAGAGGCTTAAGCAGGACTATGCAGGTCTACGGAGTGGATTTGGATCTGGTGCAGACGGGAGTTCTAGGGCTGGATGGTTGTTAAGGGCTACTCTCATAGAATCCTCGACGAACCCCAAGGACGTACCCCTTGTCATCCCGTTTATTTCGCCTAGGGTACTTCCGGATCTGCAGTGGAGCCGGGCTGTCCCCAAAGTTCCCAGAGAGCCCTGTATAGCCCGATTGAGGAATGTACTTTGAACTGTACTCGGACCCAGAATATGGTTGAAGATGTACTCCTTCATTAAGCCACATTGGGCTCCTTGGGGCACAGGTGGTCGCAAGAGAAATGTGGCTGCCATTGGGGTAGCTATGCAGTGGGATGGATTTCTCCAATTCAAATGACAGTAGCAAGGCCTTGCTGATTTCAATAGACTTTCGTGGCTCGAAGAGCTTTACTTTCGTGAAAACACACTCCAGAATAGTGGAAAATCAAATGGAGAAGATACTGGAAGATTAAATGGAGACTGGGAATTCATAGGGGCTAAGTTCGCTAGACGTCTTATTCACTAGGACCTAGACCCTTCAAGTACCTTCTATTTGGGCCTATGTCCACACTGCTAGGGGCACCATAACCGCATTTGCGGGTACTGTGGTCTTGGATTATAGATGCTTCGCAGTGTCCGCATACATGTTTTTATGGGAAGAATCTTTTGTTAGCACTGTTGCCCGAAGTGGCATAGTGGTAAGTTCTTGGGAGGTTCGAAAGAAATCCATCCTCCTATCTACCCAAATACACCATAACATGTTTTCCGAGCCCCGAGAAAAGAAACTTGTTTTTTTGAGCCCCCACTAGCTTTCCGGATTACACGACAAGCCAACATGTCGGAGTTTCTCAAGAGAGTTCTCATCTAATCCTTTACATGAATTGCCATAACCTGTTTATAGCCAGTTGGAGGTTCAGGGTTTAAGATTAAGGCTTTAGGGTTTGGCACAATGGGCAGAGGATTCATGTGGAAGCCTATGTTGCCATGCTGGTTATGGATAATTAAACGGCAAGAATATGGAACATGGCGTGGATTCTGTTTTTGTATAGGTGTTGATAGGGATAATTACCAAGATTATGGTTCTAGCATCTTGTTTTACGCTATAGGCTACCTCAAATAGGCCTCAAGATGATATTGGTAATCATTTCGCTTCTCCTTTGCCCTGAGCTTAGTCATTCCCCCCTTACATCAGCACTTACCACGAGAACTTGGAATTGTACTGGGCCCTTGGGAAAACACTTTGAAGGTAATGAAGTACTGCAAGGGATGATCACCGGGTCTGCAACATGGTTCTTTTGCTAGGGTACTCGTCTTTGTCAGTAAACTTCTTGAAAGGACTCAGAATCCCCTCAAAGGAATCAGGAAGGGAGCTTCTTCATTCTAGCGTGAAACGGGGCACGGGCGCAATCTGAAGGCATGGAGCAAACGGCGGGATAA